TATTAAGACTTCTTTTGTGACCTAATAGATAGTCCACACTGCAGAATGTGCTAAATGTACTCTTCAATAATCAGGAGTCATTGCTGGGCTAAGTGTTAAAGACACATATTTCTTTTAATTTATGATGGGATTACCTCCTATTAAGCCCATAACAGATTGAAAATATACATGGAAAATACTTACTGATTTGGAGCAGCAACTTGCTGCCAATGCCTAACATTATAAAATGTCATGGTAGAGTGGTTTCTACTATAGGCTTATTGTTAAGGAAAAAGGATGAGCAAACTCCACACAGATTTTGTAGATTCTATCCCCACCCCAGGCCAAAGCCATCAATTCATCAGTAACTACAAATCCCATCATCATGGAAGGGAGGATTGCTGGGAACTGAGGGTGGAGTTAAGCAGCCAGGTTTCGTGAATGACCAGACATGTGGGCCTTGGGGGTCTCTTTCTCTCTTGGCTTCTTGGTTTATCAGTTGACTCTGGGATTTTGCCTGCTTTCAGCATACCACTGGGATTCCGGGTCCGCAGAACTGGTAGGATGCATTTACCAATTTTTTACCCTTTTTTTTCTCCCTGGGTTATTCATTTCTTCATTTCCCCTTCTTTTGTAAATAAACCCTTTATTAACATTTTTGTATGTGCCTGCAGTTGAGTATTATTAGAAGTCACTTGAAGCACAAGGATGAGGACCCACAATTAGGCCAACCTATTTTATGTTGGGATTTTGCCCTGTAACACTATCACTTTCACATCATCTTACATTCAAACCATTCTAAGTTATATCACGTATAGACTCTCTGAGTTCATGTCTAATTGGCCAACAGGGTTTTGAGCTCTATTTTCTTCTATACATATATGTTATATTCCTTGTTGAATGTGGGACATTAGAGTCTCCAGTTTATGTAAGTCTAGGTAGAAAGCAAGCAGTGAGTGCATAGAAGCTATTGCTAGTAGAGACTCTAAGGACAGCAGAAGAAAACTAAAAGGCATGAACAAAAAATGGTGTATATTCCAATGAGGACAGACACCTGTTTATCTATTGTCTATCTAGCTACTTATCTATCTATGTATACCCACCATCAATCCATCCATCTATCCATCCATCTATCTTTCCTCCCTCATTACACATTAATGACAGGGCCCTCCCTGATGGCCAGTGGGTTAAAGCACACACTGCAAAGCTAGTCACAGCCTCTTTAGTGTGAGTTCAATCCTCAGCCAGGGAGCTGACCCACATGGCACAACAGACCTCTCCTGTCTTGGCCCCTGCTCCCCTTGCACCTCTGACCTGTACCCCAGTTCTGTATGCATAAATACATAAATCTTTAAAAAAAAAAAAAAAGGGAAGCCGGGGGGTGGGGTGGGGGAATAAAAGGGATAGGATAAGATTGAAAGAGAGTATTTGACACACTTTTCCATTTCAGAGTTGAACAGGTTTCCATCTCCTTAGAAAAGGAAAACAATAACTCCTTAGCAAAGAAGTTAATCCTTATTTTCAGCTACTCAGGTCATGGGAATTTTGGAATGAATTGAGAATTTTTTTTTAAAGATTTTATTTATTCATACAGAACTAGGGTATAGGCCAGAGGTGCAGGGAGTGGTGAGAGGATTCACCAGAAACAGATTGATGAAGTACACTGCTGAGAGGAGCAGCGGGCAAGACAGGAGTCGTCTGCTGGGCCATATGGTCACCTCCCTGGCTGGGACTTGAACTCATGCTGAAGCATCTATAGTCAGGTTCATAGTGCTGTGTTTAACCCATTGCAACACCAGGAAGGGCTGATTTGAGGACTTTTCAATGGTAAATTTAAATATCACTTTGCCTTACTCAGTTCTACTTGCTGGTTTTCTCCCTGCTTTAAAAAGTTCTATTTTTCACCTTAATCCATTCATTTATTTTTTATGAGTCACATATGTTTCAAAGATTGACTTTTGCCATTTATTTTCTTCCTGTATGTTTTGCATCTTGTTTATTTATTTTCAGTTTTTTCTGTTGGTTACAATGTGGATTGCATAAATCTAAGTTTATAACTATATTTTTATTTAACACCAATTTCACTTCAGAGCATACAAAAATTATTCCTTTACAGGTCTATTTCCTGTTCACTTCATGCTACTAATGTCACAAATTTCATTTTTAGATATTTTACACCCATTAGCATAGACTAATATTTGCTATACTTATCTTTTAAATACTGCAAAAAATAAAAATGGATTTTACAAACTAATTTTATAAAGGGCCCACTGTGGTGAGGACAGATACCTGTCCAGGTGGTACAAAAGGTGAAAGTATAGCATTATGAAGCTATCCACAGCCACTGCAGCATGAGTCCGATCCCTGGACAGAGTGGTGACCCACATGGTGCAGCAGACCTCTCCTGTCTCACCGGCTTCTCCCCTCAGCAGTGTACTTTATCAGTCTGTCTGTTCTGCTCCCCACTCTGTCTCTGGTGAACCCTTTCACCCTGTGCTCCCTGCAACTCTGGCCTATACCCCAGTTCTTCTATGCATAAATAAATGAATTTTTTAAAAATTATAAAAACATTTTAAAACTTTCACCCTGTGCTCCCTGCAACTTTGGCCAGTTCTTCTATGCATAAATCAATCAATCTTTTAAAAATTATAAAAACATTAAAAAAAATTTACCATGTATTTCTCCTGATTGGAGTTCTTTATGTATCTGTTTTGTTTCAAGTTACTGTCAGGTGTGTCTTTTCAACTCCATCTAAAGATTCCCTATAACATTTGTGGTGGGGCAGATATAGGGTTAATGAATTCCCTCAGCTTTGTTAATCTTGGATGGTCCCCATTTTGCCTTCATTTTGAAAGATGGTTTTACTAGATATAGAATTATCAGCTGGCAGCTTTTGCTTTCAGTGTTTTAAATTATATTGTTTGACTATTTCTAATCTTGAAAGATTCTATTGAGAAATTTATAGTGTTTTGAGGATCAATTGTGCATGACAATTGACTTTTCTCTGTATTTTCAAGATTCTCTTTTTGTTTTTGCATAGTTGGTTTATAATGTGTCTTGGTGAAGGTCTCTATTTCACTTGTCTTCCTGGAATTGCAAATACACATCTTTCCTAAAATTTGGGATACTTTTGACTATTTCTTCAAAAGTTCCTTCTCTACCTCCTTATCTTACTGTTTGAATTCTATAAAAAAATACCATACATTGGGTGGTTTATGAACAGCAGAAATTTATTCCTTTCAGTTCTAGATGCTGGGAAGTCCATGATCAAGGTGTCAGCAGATTCAGTATTTGAAGTTTCTCTGACTGGCTTATACACAGAATCTTCTAAAAATAATCCCTATCTTCCCAGTGACATCTTTCAAGTTAAATAATCTGGCCCAAACTCTTTTACTTTGCCCCATTTTCATGATTTACTATTCTTTGTCCCACTCAGTATGTAAGTATTCAACCTGAGCTGTTTCATTTTTCTTATGAAGGCTTCTGTGTACATCTTTAAAGAAATAATAAAAGTATGTATCCTTTCTCCTAATATGTCAATTTAATTTTTAAGCAAGATGGAGACTCCTAATAGAGAGGGATAGACGAGAACATTTTTCTCCCTTACTTAGAGTATCTTAGAGACTGTAAGAGCATGTATGGGTATGCATGACTTCCAGGCAGTCTATAAATGAAAATATAGGTTAAAAATAGAAACATTGTTTTGAAACAGAGGGCTAAAGAAGGGTAACACACATAAGTTATATGTCATCAGGATATGTAGTAAAAACAGTAAACTTTACATTTAAAACAGGTGGTATGATTGATAAGTGGGTAAATAAACAAATTGCAATGTATCTATATATGTATGTAGGCATCCATGCTTCAGAATGGATGAACCTTAAAGAAATTATGCTAAGTGAAATGAGCTGCACACAAATAGAATTATATAATAATTCTATTTATTTGAAATAATTGTAATAGTCAAATTCATAGAAAAAGAAAGTAAGATGGTGGTTACCATGGTCTGAGAGAAGGAAGAATAAAGAATTCTAGTTTAATGAACACACAGTTTTAATTTGGGATGATGAAAATATCCTGGATAGTGGATGGTGTATGGCTGCACAACAGTTCCAATAAATTTTACACTAACATGGTTAAAATGACAATATTATATGTATTTTACTTCAACTGAAAAAAAGATAGATCATTAAAATTAACGGGAAAAGAGTAAACTATTCAATAAACAATGGATAACTGGTTCCTCATATGGTAAAAGATGACATCCTTTTCTCACATCACATAAGAATTAAATTGAAGCTTAATGACACTGTCACACTACATAAAGTTAAATTTTAAAGTTTTTAGAAAAAAATATGGTGGCAATTATATGATATCAGTAGAGAAGTTTTCTTAAGCAGTATGAAGAGTTGTATTAACTCTCTAAAACTGCTGCACCAAAGTATCACAAACTCAGTGACTTTCAACAACAGAAAGTTATGCTTTTATAGTTTTGGAGGCCAGGAGTCCAAAGTCATGATGTCAGAAGATGTCTAAGACTTTAAATCTTAGATACTTTTGAAAATCAAGGCAAATTCTCTCTTATCTCTTCCCAGTTTCTGATGTTTCTCTGCTTCAGCTGCACTACCTCAACCTCTGCCTATGTTTCACATGGAGTTTTCTTGTGTGTCTGTATCAAGCCTCCTTCTTCTTAAATGGACAGATGTTATATTGTATTAAGGGTCCATTCTGTTCCTCTATACCTCATTTTAACTAGTTACAACTAGAGCAATACCATTTCCAAGTAAGTTTTCCATTTTGAGATGGTAGGGAATAAGAAACTAACTTTTGGAAGGACACAATTTAACCTGTTATAACATTAACCATAAAATAAGAACTGAAATATTAAGACATGCCAGGTAACAAATATGGAGAAGGATGAAAGATAAACAAAAACCACATGTTTTAATAGTGTCATTTTTATTGAAAAAGTACAAATTTTACATAAAAATATTTAAAATGAATTATTTCTCCCACCCCTTTCTATGTCTTTTACTATTTTTCTTTAGGTTTTAAGTTGTGGTTTAAAAGCCATTTATACATTGAGACTACTTAAAAACTCTCCAAAACTATTTCAGTGTAAGGGGATATTGATTTGTTTTTCTTTCCTATGTTTAGATATTCATGCATTCAATCATTTGTTCATCTATTTACTGACAAATATATTTTGTATGGGTGTTATGTTCAGATATTTTTCTAGGTAGTGGAAAAATAGGTGTAATTGGGACTAAGTGTCCCTTGGCTTATAGTCACGTGAGAGGAGACATTCTGAAAAAATACAAAATAATTTGCCTTAAAAGTTTTGTGGAAACCAACTTGAATTGAAATAAAGGTGGACTTTTAAAAAATTAAAACTACCCAATAAGGAGATGACTACCTTCTACTGCGTGAGTTGTCTACCAAGGAAATAATCTACTGAATTATTCCATAAAGTAATTTCTGCCTTTTAATGGGAAATTAGATTAGAAAAACTTCTACTTTTCTTTCCAGTTCAAAAATATTATGACCATAGAATTAGTAATCCCTGGGGGTAGCAGTAAGGCCATACTCACCAATTCTTGGCCCTAGTTCCCCATTTAGCGATTAACTCCTTAGGTTTCATCTTTATTTGCTCATAAGATACCATTTGTAAATACAAACTATAAAAAATACAAAATAATAGATAAGTCAATTTGTTGGGATGTAAGAACTTAATTAATATTGTTTTAAAAAACAGAGCAAGGAGAATCAGAAGTGACAGGTGTCTGCAGCATTTTATGCATTTAGAGTTGAATGAATCTTTTTGAAGACATTTTATCAGAACACATTTAAATGAACATTTGAACCTAGAACTAAAGAGAATAAATTGTGTTGTGTTTAGGGATAACATTTGGAGGAGGTTAGACAAATAATCCAACTGATTTTTTCCCCTCAACTGTTTAGATTAAATGGTGAAATGAAAGATTTTGTTCAATGATTTTGGAAGAAAAAGTAATTGTTCCTCTGGAAAATAAATGATACAACCGTAAGCAAATATTTACTAAATATTTATATTTGGCACAAGGTGGGGAGATGGACAGATAGAATATTTGGTTCTTTTCTGATGATTTACCTGTGTTTGTCCTATACAACTTCCCATTTTCTCCTACTACTCAAATGAAACAAAACTCCCTGATTCATGACAACATGATCACTGGTAATAGAGTCCTTTATCTAAAATATTTTCAGTGTTTCTGGCTAGTTTCACTTTTTCTAGCAATGAAAAACACATATAGACCTAGAAAATGTCCCTTGTCCACTGAGCATTAATTTGCACTTTCTTCTTCTTCTTCTTTATAAAAACATACTTTTTTCAGTGCTACTTTCTGATTTCCATTCAGTTCACGGGTATTGCACAAATCCTGCAGGTTCTGAAAAATGCAAATTCTGTTTGCACATTGTGTTTATAAACAGGAGGTAACAGGATCACCTCTCATGATCTTTCAGTAGTGGCCTTCAACTTTGGGAATGTTCTCTCTGAAAGGCACCTACAAACTACCAATATGGCATACTACTTACGTGATGGATAGTTCTTCCTTTCAGAATCTTCCAAAAGTAAATAATAAAAGAAAGATAGAAGGTATTGTCACAGTTTTTGAAACAAAGTATTTTAGAATTCTGTTAGTAAGGACTTATGAAAGATTTCTTGACAATGTCACTTTTCTGAAATAAGCTGGTCACTCTTCAGAGGTGTTGAAAAGCATGTGCTTTGGTCTTCACCAACAAGCAGCTTTCCTTTGTGAGATGTATCATCACAGCATATCACCTTGATAAGTGATATGTCACTTTGAAGGCACTGGTTTTTTTCTCTTCAGATCACTTAGTTAATTAAAAAGGCCCCGAAAAAACTGGCCTCTTGGTCCATGGCGATCAGTTTGTCATTAGTTACAGAGACAAAAATTCTGTCACCTTCCTTAAGTTCAAATATTCCCCCTTGATAGATAGAATAGAGTCCATATTCTGAATCTTTTGACCAACAGCTACTTCTAGCACTTTTCATCAGCATTATAGGATCAGGATAGCTGGTGTATTTGTAAATGTACTGTACCATTTGTTTGTTTTTCTTTTTGCCCTTTTCTGTTGAAACTGTTCCCAAATTTTCCTCAGATTCCTGAAATCGAAAGTAAGTTTGGGAATAGATGTAATAAAACCCTGGTTTAATGATAACCAACTCTCCATTCCTTAAGTGAAAACTGTTCAAGAACGAATGTCCTTTTCTTGATGACTCCCACGTGTTTATTTTCTGGCCCAAAGCTTTTCCAATCTTGGAGTCTGAATGAAATTTAGAGAGAAAAACAGTTAATGGAAGGGAATTTGTAGCAAAAAAAGTTTCCCTATAGCTGTGGTCAGCCTGTTTTGGGTTGAGATTAGAAAGGATTTTAATAAAACTTGCTCCATCAATCTTAGGTGTATTCTAAGTTCTAATCTGGAGAACCCTTGATCTCCAGGAATCTGGAGGTGCTTTGTGTCTTTGTAATCTGTTGGGAATTTCTTACAATACTTTGTCAGACATATTTCCCACCTTCACCTTGATTGACTCAAATTCAAATGTCAATCTTTGCTCTTGGGCAGAACCCTTGCCTCTCTCAGGGTACTGGTGAGCTCAAACTGACAATATACAAGGAAACATCTATCTCCTTAGCCTAGAGTTTATAACTTCTTGCTATTGCTTTGGGTTTATTCCCTTGTAGTCCACAATAAGAGGGCAAACTCTTTAGCAGAGAGCCCAGATGGGAGCTTGAGCTCCTGGATCTTTAAATCTCAAAGACTTTGAATACATGATGACCCTACTAAAATATGAAATCCCTTTAAATTCAGGTTCATCTCCATGACAGGTGCAATTTTAGTTTTTCAAGAGTTTAAAACAACTATCATATTTATTGATGAATAGTAAATAGTAACATTATAATGTCATATATTTATGAATCATGAGTTTAGGAAAACCAGAAGGCAATTGTCCAGGAAAACAAACATCAAACAAAATCAATAACATTTTCATCCATTAGCTGACATCTGAAAATTCTTTAACTTGACACAAAACTTTGAAATGTCTATTATTGCCAATATACAAGGTATTTTGCATGTGCTAATCATCATTGTTTTATGAGCTCAAGGCTATCTCTGCCTTGTATATGAAGAACAGAAGCTTGATTTGTTAAGTAATTTGCTCAAAACCTCTATCTAGGTAAAGGGAGCTGGGATTCCATTGTCTGCAGTCTGAAGGACACATGCAACTTAACCGAAACATGGACACTTGCTCTATGCTTAAAGATTAGACTCAACATATTTCATTATGAAACAACAATGTTGTTCCATAAGTGAAAAATAGTCACATATTGGCAACTGGTCTAACATAATACACATCCCACTAGGAGGTTTAGTGATTCATAGTGAAAATAAATAACTGATTTAGAAACTTTGAAGAGAAGGAAGACTTAATGGAGGTGAGAGAAATTACCTCAAAAAAGGAGAAAACAAACAAACCAAAAATGAGTGACAAAGAAATTCCAAGACAAATTTCTCCTTCATAATTATTTTCCTGAGGTCAGTTATGCTATTGCAGGAACTGAGCTATTCATCTGTAATCTTGCATCAATCTGAGACCTAATTACCACTGAACATTTTTTTTTGGTAAATAGCTATGTAAACATTTCAGGAAGAAGTTAAAAGTATAAATTATTTGGGGGCAAATTCATCCATTGATTTTCTTTAAACCATATATGTTTTATTTCTCTTACTTGGATCTGAGGCTATACTTCTTGAACTGGTTGCAGTTATATGAGCTGCTGCTCTCTGAGGAAATTTTTCTCCTACTGGGTTTTGGCTATTTTGCTGCTTTTCTAAAAGAGAAGGGACAAAGAATCATCAGCACTTGTTAAACTGCCTCTCAAATACATTACTGTTCATAGGCATTGTAAGCACACTGGACTTCCAAAGTGAAATCTATGGGTTTAGAAAACCAGATGAGTAAGATTCAAAACAACCTACATTTTAATAGAATAGTCAGTCTACTGCAGCTTACGTTTAATTTGAAAAGTTCTTAAGATGAGAAAAGTAAGCACTAACATGGCTTATAATTCATCAGCATCGCAGAGGATGGGTTCAAGCAGAATATAGAAAAGTGAAGTTTTCTTACCACTTTCAAAAAAAAAAAAAAGACTGTTGACTTATAATTATCCTGCTGAGGGATTTAAAATGCACACATCACTGAGTATTGACAAATTTCCACTTTGAATTTTATATAGGAAAAAAATCACAGTAATAGCATTTTTCATCCTCTCGATTAATTTTTCCTCTTTGTTAGTTACTACTGACTTAATAGAGGGGCAGAGACAACAATTTTCCATTGAGGCTGCAAATTGGAATCAAACATTTGTCCTGCCTGATCTCCCAAAAGGAGTATGAAATGATGTTTTTATGAGCATATAAATCATTGGTTGCATTAGATATAGTGAATAATGTTTATTGACAAGCATCCAGAGTACTTTAGGACAGCCTTAAGAAATATAAATCCAATAAATTTCCCCCCAAAAAAATCAGCTGATGCTTACATTGGTTATCAAGATAAATAAAAATATTGAAACATTTTATATTTAATATGTAGTAACCATCAATAACTATTACCTAATGTTTAATAAAATGTTAAATAATATATCTTAATATTCATAATGGATAAATAACAAAAGTTGTCAGGGATGAAGCATTGCAATTACTCCCTACAGGGATTTCAGAGGCTGATCATAGATTATAATGAGAGTTCAGGAATTTAGAGCCTGTTAGGAGGACATGAACTAGAAAGTGAAAATATACTTAGGAGAAACAGAAATAAAGAGTGATGAGCATTCAGAGGAGGGAAGTTCCCACTTATTTTGGAGCTGAGACACAGGAGTGTTTACACTAAGGTCTTTTCATTCACTTTGTTTAACAAACACAAATGGCAGGTACTCTCCTAGGGACAAAGACAAAGAATGATTAACGAATGTAAGAAAGAGTTTGGGGTGCTCCGGTGAATGTCTGAGCAGGGAGAAGATGGCTGGCATGGGAACCACAGGGCGAAGGCCAGTCCCAAGCTCTAGCACAGAGCCAAAGGCAGGAGGCACAAAGCATTCCTGGGACATAGGCATGGGCTCACACACACACTAAAATCTTTCTTCTCTGCCAGGCTGCTGTGCCTAGGGAGAAGGAGTTCACCCAATATTAGGCCAACAGACTTGGATTTGAAGGAATATTGGAAAAATTTAATTGGTTTTGGTGAGAGAAGGGGAAAGAAATGTGCTATGCCTCAGGCTTACTCTCACAGTAAAGGTTAGTAGACAAAAAGGGAGACTGGCAAGCTATCAGACTATTACAGTTGTTCAGAACTGAGAATAGGAGCCCTAACTGAGGTTAGCAACGGGGAGCTGAAAGGAGGTGCTGCTATAATTCCATTGGAGAGGAATGAATGGAAAATGAGAATCACTTCTCCAATTGGTGCTAGCTGTGAGTTATTCAGGATGGGTGGGAATTCATGCCATCTGAAAACCAAATATGGCATGGGGATGTAAGGCAGTTAAATACTATTCTCAGAATGCTCAGCTTTCAAGGTTGATGTGTACAACACCTCCATTGTTAAATAATTTAGAATGCTTTGCCCAGCCCAGACCTTACCATTGTGCTTTTAAATTTTCAAGAACTGAATTAAGTTATAATTTGGGGTCATCATAAGGATATGGGGAAGTCCAGACTTCAAAGTAAATTCTAAAAATAGGAGACTTTGTAATGACTATGCAAATGCCTCTCAGAAAATAAACCTATACTTATGTACATTTGAGTGATATAGATACATTTTGTCATACTGAGAAAATGATGATTTCTATACCTTATTGGGGTGAATAAAAAAAGAATATTTTTCTTCTGACTAAAATAGTATGTGCATCTACTGTAGAATGTGGGTCTGGTGTACCTCATAAGAAAGGATGGAGTGCTTGCCTGTTGACCACTGTTTTTGCATTTGGGGAAATAGAAAGAATGTCTAGGTCCTGGGATAAAATCTTACGCTTCATATTTAATAAATGGGGTTGTCAAGTGAGGCAGAAGCTTACAGTATTAGAAAAGGATAGCTGAAAATGTAGGAAGACATCATTACAACATATATTTAAAAACTTTCTTCTTTTCCAGTCTGGTATGTTTGGGAAGAAGTTGCAGACATAATTCAGTGATTTTATTTATTTATTTATTCATTAACTATACACACACACATACATGCATATATAAATATGTATGTATATATATATATATATAAAGAGATGTCTATGTAGAGAGAGATCGAGGTAACAGGACACAGGGAATGCAATAACTGACATTGAATTGTGTGCTTTAAAGTAGGTGACTATGTGAATTGTAGCTCAATAAACACATACAAATACACTCTGAAGGAGGGGGGAAAGGAGAAGGGAGAATCTATCAAATTTGAGGAATAGTTAGGTACTGGGTATAGAGAGGTAAGAGAAAGATGGGATCTTTGTGAATATTTAATCTAGTTGGGAATCAGCACAAAGATTAAAGCCATATACAAATAAGAGGAACAAACAAAGCAAGTATGGCAGAAATAAGGACGTGGAGAAACGTGACCAGACAAGTTCTCTCTGAAGTGGTGACAATTAGGTAATGAGAATGGAGGAGAAGGGACCAGTTATATGAAATGTCAGGAACACCAGAAAGTAGACAGAGAACCACAGAAGATAGCCCAGGCAGTGGCCCTGAGGGGCTGGATGCTGAGAGGCCATGAACAGGAAGATGGCCAAAGAGGGGGACCACAGCATGAGATGGGGGGGTGGGGTGGGGTTGCTGTGTGATGACGAGAAGGAACTTTGCATCCAGAGAGGCATAGAGCGAAAGGTGGTCAGAGCAGAGAAGATGGTCAACGTTGGGGGCCCTGATTTACTCTACTTTCAGTCATATTCCAGAAAGGTTTTAAATGACATATAACACATCAGAAGGTGAAAAGATATATAATAGAAGAAACTAAAGAAAGCAAAATCTAAATGGGAAAAATGATACTTAGCTATAATAAAGTTCAAACCACAAATGGGGCACACTGAGTTTTCTCTCAGCCAAGGCAAAGAGGGAAATAGAATCAACAGGCTTGAGGTGAGAGGTGGGATGTGTGGATCAGAACAAAGAGAAAGTGCTGCTCACTCTGTCATAAAGTTGACAGTAGAAAATGAAAATAACCAAAAAATACTACCTGGAACTGTGGTAATGGTTTCCTCATAGATCCTCAAAAACATCTGCAAATAGTATTAAATAGGCTTGTTAATTTCCAAAAAATTTAAACTGACTCTGGAATACCCATGTCCTTCTGCTGTGTCTAACAGGAAATTTCTGCATAAGATAACAATCCAGCAGCTGTTCAAGCAGTTTGTGTAGGGCAGGTGGGGATGAATCCTGAGGCAGCTGACGCTCTGGTGATGGAAGGATAGTTCTCTGTCTGGGAAAGTTGTATCTGATAAAGTCTTTGGAAGGTTACAATGGAGCAACACAGGTGAAGGGAGCTGCCTGTCATATTAGGTCAGCCTGGGGCTGATGGATGTGGTGGCCATGTGTCACCTCATTTTGTGTGTATGTGTTCATGCGTATGTTTGTATAAGTTCACTATGAAGTTAAAGGACTTTAAACGGTCAGACAAACTCACACCCAAGAGGTAAGGCACAGCTTTTCTCAGGATACCCCCCCACACTCACCCCATCATGATGTAATCTGGCAATACTGACCATGTCCTTTCCATTTCTGTGAAAGTCACTGAGCATTCCTATTACAGAGATATTTTGCAAAGTTCCATTATTTTTACTAAACATCTAGTATCACTGTCTGTACTAATGGGTGGGAAAACCACTAAGAAGCAGTACAGGTTTAGTCTCTGACTTGGTTCATCCAGAGCTCTAATTCTGTTCCATTAATTTCTGACACCCTTGAGGCTTTGCCCATCACTGCCTCTGTTCCATCGCTCTTGTTGATTTTTGCAGTTCCCTCCCTACATTAGAGATCCCTCAGTCTCTGCTTCTCTGACTCCAAGCCAGACTCCTGATAATAGGGGGTATCATGTGTAGTATAGAGGTGTGTGAGAAGGGAAAGGGAGAGGTGGCCTGAGCAATCTGTCTCTCTCTTTCTCTTATTCTTGACTCTTTCCTCAAACTCCTCTTCTCTCTCTCTCTCTCTCTCTTTCATTTTGGGACAGAATGGAAGGAAGCAGGAAGAGCAGCAATAAAGTGAGAAGGGTAATTCCTACAGTGTGGGAAGCAGAATAAAGATTACAGGTGGCAAGGTGAGATAACCCAACTGGGAAAGTTTGCTAAATTCCTACTGATAAGAACTTTAATTTCTTCATCTCTTATAAAAAGAGAGAGAATAACAAACTTTTGTGAGGATTAAATGAGATCATATATATATAATGGCATAGGATGTTTACTCAAAACAATCTTTTAAATTAATGGTGCCTAAAAAAAATAGGTCATTCATCTCCTCTCCCTTCCCAGCCCCTCTCTGGGTCACCTCCCACTGTCTCTATCATCGTTAGTGGCAGGATGTGAGAATGGGAGAAAAAGGAAGAATGGCAGGAAAGAGATATGTAAACTCTATCCCCACTACTCTTATCTCCCATGCCCACCTCAAGCATCTTCTTCATTCTCCAGATTTCTACCTTTGTACAGTTTACTTTCCAGCCACCCATGAGGTTGCTGTCTCCTGTAGTCCCAGGGACTGAGGAATCAAATTCCTAGGCTGCCTAGAGGCCTCCCCAGCCTTGGCCTTTCCAGCACTCACTCCCTGGAACAGTGGAACTCCCTGTTTGTGCAGAAAGATTACTCTGCCCTGGACTTCTGGGAAGCCACGGAGCAAATATGTTTCTAGGACTCCCATGTTGAAGTCCGATTTCATTTCTCTTAGAAATAGCATCCTAAGTGTCTTGACTGTACTGGGAAGATGGCTTTCTGACCTTTTCAGGTAGTCAGAAGATCAATATATATTCAATGCCACATTATAAAGAAGGAAGTTGTCTGAGAGAAAAAACTTGACTTCATGTGAGTCACACTACTGAAAGTAATTTAATCACACTCAGTGGCCTAAGCTGTTAACATCATATTTCTGTTGGAGTTCCTGTTAAAGTAAATTCAGTTAAAGATATTATTTTGTCATTTATACTATTTTGTCATTTACTAAGTGTAAATTGAGATGTCATCATCTTCAATTTCTCAGTCTCTTTCCTCCCTCATGCTTTCTTTCTTCATCTCTATATGCATTCAAAATAATTATGTGCAATTCCAAAGATCACAGTATGAGAAAAATATAAAATACCATTATTTGACCTCTTTTGTCTCCTTAATAAAAAGGCAAATATTGGTACACATGCTTTATTATTGTGTGACCTTGAGCACATTGCCCTGTCTGCACCTCAGTTTCCATGAAGAGGATAAGTTTAGACTCTCTAAAGGGCAGAGGTAATCTAGGATAGAGGATGAATTCAGAGCAGAGTCAGCCAGGATCTCCTATACCACTTTTTCTGGTTCTATGAATTGGGGGGGGGGATCATTTAAAACTCTCTGAACCTCAGTTTTCTCATTTGTGAAAGTAGGACTCTAGAACTGACAATCTTTTCCTTGACCTTCTCAGCCTGTTGGTAACTTCACTTTACCATATTACCCACTTACCTTTCGAATGAGCTGTCGTAATTGCCATCTCACTTGTGAGCAAGGGTTTATATTCTCCTCATCTATGGGAATCCAAAGACCCTCATCTTCATTTAAAAAGCATGCAATGCTATTTTTGGAGAACTTGTCCTGCATCTGGATTAAGATGGAATACAACACAATATTATACAAACATGTTTTTTTTGTTGTTGTTGCTGTTGTTTATCTAGAAGTGAAAACAATAGAGACAACAGATTTAGAGAATTCTTAGCATCTTGACATTCATGGCCTGAAATAAAAGCAAAAATGTTATTTGTCCTTTGAATAAAAAACAAGCACCTGCATGTAGGGAGAAGGATACAGGTGTGGGCCAGGTGCCCTGGTTCACAATAGCCTTCTTTGTTCCTACCATTAAACGTGTGTATACTTAAAAAGTAAATTGCTGCTTCTATTCTGTATTGGTTCTTCCTTTGAACTCACTATGGAGCTCTGTGAAGTTCCTTCCAGCTTGATCCAGTGGATGGCATTCTAAACTTGAGACCCACCTAGATACAAGTAGACAGTGGAGTCTGCTTAAATTCCAAAATCCTAAATGAAGACTTAGCCAAACTCTTTGGAATAAAGGCAGTGTTCTGTTTCTTAATCTGAGTCTTGTCTGTCTGAGTAGATTCCAGTCATTGTTATGATGTCTGCCTTCTGGATAGCAGAATCTGGGCCACATTACCACTAGAAATCTGAACATTAAATGTGCTCGTGGGCATTTACCTGCAGGAACTTGAAGCACCATTTTGCGGTTTGCTCTCTTCTTCTAATTGTAAGCAAGCTTTCACAATAGCCAGTTCCTTGTCTACACACACCTCAAACCACCTAGAATACTATACTTCAGGCCAATAACTGCTTAGTCTTATAAAACACAGGAAATTCAGGCAAGGTCAGAGTTTAGTTTTTGTTTTCCTGTTTTGATTTTTAACAATAGGGATTGAGGACATGGTATTTCCTTGTAAAAACCCAGGGAACTTCCTTTCTCTGGGAAAATAAATAGGGAAATAACCATTTCTGTCTGTTACTTGAAATTAAGGGACACCCAAACTTGAGGGGAGGATAGAACTTAAAGGTGACCTATTCCTCCCTCTGGAATACAATCTCATTGCAAATGAAATAGCTTAACTGCTTGAGAAGCCAAGCCAGTCACATGGTTCCAAACCCAGTCAAATACCCATGACTTGATCAAGGGGTCTTTTAAGTGCAGAGATACAAATATGAGTCAATTTATAGCTTTCCACATACTCTGACATTGAACAGTCATTTACTTGGAAATACATACTTATTTCTAATTCCTTTTTTTTAATTATCAGAGCAAACAATGCTGTTAATAAGTGCTATGGTGATTATAACTGTGGACACAGGACCTGTGCTCTGTTAGGCAGTAGAATTATACAGCGTTTTTGGCCTTATTTTTCCCTTGCTTTTCCACAATGGCTATCTATTGACATCAGCAATTAATTTGGCAGTTGAGGAGAATTGCCAAAGAAAGCACTGAATTGCATAACATGAAAAATGGAACTTGGCTAGCCAATTGGGGGCAGGATCAGAGAGGATTTAGCCACAGGCCAGAGGGTGGTTCCAGGAAGAGAAGACAGTTTTACTGGATATAGTCTGAGTCTGGCTGGTAGGAGAAGCCTGCCTAGGCTTCAGCTTGAAACTGAACAAACAAGCTCACAAACTTCCATGACTTCTATGATGATTCCAAGGATGATTAATGATGATGAATATGAGGTGGTTTCCTCCCTCTTCCTTCCCACGTCTAAGTATGAAAACATATCTCAGGTGGAGTTACTCTCTTGCTACCCACATCTGGGTGTTAGGGGGTAGGAGAACAAGTATCCTGTTTACATCTGCCTGTTCTGGAAGGAGAGATAGCTTATGCACTGGGTGTCTGCTCTTTTGCTCTAGTAGCCCTCGGTTCTGCTAGATGAATTTTCCCTGCAATTGTTATTGGTGTAATTGCATGCATGATTGTTGTATAGGCCACGGCAGGTCAACAGGGTAAACACCTTTGCTGGTTGACCTGGAGACTTCAAAGTGGAAGCACTGACTCTTTTCTTCTGTTCAGATATTAATCTCTGACAGTCATTTGATGTAGACCACAAATAACACAAAAGATTGATTTTTTTTTTAATGGAGATTGGTGGAGAAGAGTGCCCTGTACATCTTCTTCTATCTATGATACAAAGTCATGTGACATAAAGTCATCCTGTCATCAAACTTTCTCAGAGACAGAGACTTGAGAGGCTGAGCCCTTATTTGCTGTTCATGTTTGTAGACCCACAGGTTTATTTGAGAATCCAACACTCACTAAACCATATTCTTTATAATCCTTGCTCACTGTATCTTCTACAAATTTTTACTAGTTATGTGAAACTTGGGGTCTGTTTTAGAAAATCAATACTAATTAATACTAGTATCAAAACATTCCAAAATGCTACACAAACAAGGAGATTCAAATTTATTTTCCCTTGCAAAAATTCCTGATGCAAGAGTCCTCAAAAGACTTCTCAATACTAAGTATAATGGCTACAATTTATTGAACACCTACTTAATGCCTGTTTTAAAATTGGGCTTTATCTTTTACTAACTTGGTAATCTCAGACAAATCACCTAACGTTTTGAGGCTTAGTTTTTCAACTATAGAATGGGGTAATGTATAACATACATATCATCTTATATATATAATATATTGCATATATTACACAAACATTATAGGATTGTTATGATGATGAAATAGAACAATCCTTTCAAAGTTTCTATTTGCTTAATATCTATTCATTCTTCTCCCCACTCTTTATAAATTATTTTGCATGTATGTATATATGTGCCAACATATATAAATATACAGCCAAGAAAAGTATGTGTAATTTGGAAAATGTTAAGCTTTCTTTAGAATTTCTATTTCCATTTTTAAGGTACAATTTTTAAAAACATGGTCAGATAATTGCATGAGTCAATTCAATTTTAAAAATTCAGTTAATTCAGTCTTTAAATTAGGCCCACTTGTAATGTGAACAAATTAAGGGAAATTTTCTATTTGGACAAACAGACTCAATCTGTTTATGTTGCAAAGTTAGCAAAGGTTGGGGCATGTTCACTATAAGTTGATAAACACAGCAGTATTCCAGCCTCTCATGCAGAGTAAGAATGAAATAATCATACCTTTCATTATTTTTCTTTTCTCTTACAAACATACAAGCTTTTGTGAATAAATCTACAATAAATCAGATTTTACTGTCCATATCCATATGTTCATAATTACTTGCAAGTCAAATAGGATCTGCTTCATCCATTTCAAGAGTAAAAATTTCTGATCAAATGAGATAATAAAATGCATACTCTACATAATAAACAGATGCATTTCCTTAATAGATAAGCATTCCATGAGGTTTGTGCAATTACTGTTTATCTGAGACCTTTAGCCTTCATTTGCTAAACTGATGGAAGATTTAATAGTCCATTAGTCCAGTTCAGCAGGTTGCAAGTTATATTACAATGAGCAAATTCCTGTCTGAGGTTAAATAAGCCATTCCTCTAGAAATCTTCCAGACTAGAAGTCTTCTAAAAGACTAGAATTCTCTAGACTTCTAAAATTAGGGTGTGTAAAGTTCCTTTCAGCTTACAGTTTTTTTAATTATATAAAACACGGTCAGCTAAAATATACCTAACAGTTCAAAAACTGAGTTGTCTTATTTTCAGCAGTTTTTCAATACTGTTCCCAAAGTTTTATGTAATTGAGAAATATACAAATTAACATGCCTCTAAGCAGTTTTGTTTTTTTTTTTAAATAAAAGATTTATTTATTTATCCATATAGAACTGGGGTACAGGCCAGAGATGCGGAGGGTGAGAGGATTCACCAGAGACAGAGTGGGGAGCA